CAGAAGTGACACACTGGTGATTCATTTTGAGAGTTTTTTCTACTGTGCTCTTTTAACCTTTGAGTGATAAGGTGCTTCCTCTTCAGGTACATTCATGTTATGCTTGTGGCATTATATTGATTTTTAGTGCCCCAATCAGGACTAATTAACAGATGAATTTTTGTCAATTTATAGTAAGGTGGCTAGTTCACAGTATATGAAAAATGTATTTTCAGCATATTTTGAAAATAACCAAGATGAGATGGGTAGCATCCATTGGACTGCCTCCCTTCTGAATGTCCATCTCTCCCAAGGAAGGAGGAGGAAACAGAACTAGAGGACTTTAAAAGAGGAAAACAGAGTGGTTCCTTCCTACTCACTGCCACCCCTGGGAGTTTGGGTTCACATATCCAGTTTGGCACTACTTACACACTAATAATGATGGTTTTGAGTTCATATAAAAATTGGCCTCACTGATTTAGTGATCACTTCTTAGAGTGACAGGCTTTCCAGGTGGTACAGTGGTTATGAATCCTCCTGTCAAATGCAGGAGATGCAAGAGATGTGGGTTCAATTCCTGGTTTGGGAAGATCCTTTGGAGAAGGAAACAACAACCCACTCCAGTATTTCTTGCCTGGAAAACTCCATGGACAGACAAGTCTGGTGGGCTATAGTTCTACAGAGGGTCAGAAAAAGTCAGACATGATCAAGCATGCACACACACACACACACTTAGAATGATAAATTACCCCATTATTCTATTTCTTCAGGAATTTTTCTTTATCACATATGTATATTTTCAATGAAAGATTCAATAAGTTTTCTTTAAAACAGTCATAAAGAAGCAATTCCTAGAGAAAAACAATGATGGGATGATTTCTCTAAGTGACATTACCAAAGTTAACACGGTAAATTCTTGAAGCAATATCCAAAAACCACATACTTCACTTTTGAAATAGACTCACATCTATTTCTTTTTATAGAAAGCTCCAAATGTAGTTTAAATAAAGGTGCTGCTTCTGCTAAGTCACTTCAGTCGTGTCCGACTCTGTGCGACCCCATAGACGGCAGCCCACCAGGCTCCCCCGTCCCTGGGACTCTCCAGGCAAGAACACTGGAATGGGTTGTCACTTTCTTCTCCAGAGCATGAAAGTGAAAAGCGAAAGTGAAGTAGCTCAGTCGTGTCCTACTCTTAGCGACCTCATGGACTGCAACCTACCAGACTCGTCTGTCCATGGGATTTTCCAGGCAAGAGTACTGGAGTGAGGTTAAATAAAGGTAGATCTTAGTATTATCTACCCCTTCTACCACTTCATAATTTTTAGAATTTAGATAAAAGTTGCCTCTCTGTCCATGGAACAATGTGTTCTAAATTCTAGAGTAATTTTTCTACCTGAGAATCTGTGAAAAAATATATCAGCTGGGAAACAAATAGAAAAACAATTTACCAGTACTTCCAGTATTTTTCTTAAGATGTCATAATTTCACCATTAAATCTGTCCTGTGAATTCAAGATCAATTAGTTCAATTCAGTTCAGTCACTCAGTCATGTCCTACTCTTTGCGACTCTGTGGACTACACAACACCAGGCTTCCCTGTACATCACCAACTCCCGGAGCTTACTCAAACTCATGTCCATCAAGTCAGTGATGCCATCCAACCATCTCATCTTCTGTCATCCCCTTCTCTTCCTGCCTTCAATCTTTCCCAGCATCAGAGTCTTTTCCAATGAGTCAATTCTTTGCATCAGGTGGCCAGAGTATTGGAGTTTCAGCTCCAGCATCAATCCTACCAGTGAATATTCAGGACTGATTTCCTTTGGGATGGACTGGTTGAATCTCCTTGCAGTCCAAGGGACTCTCAAGAGTCTTCTCTAACACCACAGTTCAAAATCACCAATTCTTTGGCACGCAGCTTTCTTTATAGTCCAACTCTCACATGACTACTAGAAAAACCATAGCTTTGACTAGACGGAACTTTGTTGGCAAAGTAATGTAATATTTAAAGTAATATGCTGTGGAGGTTGGTCACAGCTGTTTTCCCAAGGAGTTAGAGTCTTTTAATTTCATGGCTGCAGTCACCATCTGCAGTGATTTTGGAGCCCCCCCCCCAAAAAAAAAAAAAGTTTTTCAGTGTTTCCATTGTTTCCCCATCTATTTGCCATGAAGTGATGGGACCAGATGCCATGATCTTCATTTTTTGAATGTTGAGTTTTAAGCCAACTTTTTCTTTTTTTGGTATTTGTTTCTTTCTTTTTTTAAATTTATTTTTATTAGTTGGAGGCTAATTACTTTACAATATTGTAGTGGTTTTTGCCATACATTGACATGAATCAGCCATGGATTTACATGTGTTCCCCATCCCGATCCCCCCTCCCACCTCCCTCCCCATCCCATCCCTCTGGGTCTTCCCAGTGCACCAGCCCTGAGCACTTGTCTCATGTATCCACCCTGGTAAGCCAACTTTTTCACTCTCTTGTTTCACTTTCAACTGTAGCTACTTTGCATTCCTTCAGCAAGATCAGTGGATCATCCTATCTTTTATTACATTTGATAACTGCTCTTCCTCTTCTCTTCTAGAATTTCATTACAGACTCAAAGACTTAAATGAAATCAGAGGTGCAATTCTTTTGGGGCAGGAAAAGGTGAAGCAATTGGCCTGATTTAGGAAAACAAAATCCTCACATTGCTAGAAAGCCAGGTGAGTATGTAAAGGCTCAGTGCTGACATCCTTCAGAAACCAGAATTTCTGGCTGGAAATGTATGACCTCCATCCAAATCAGCCTGCTAACAGTAAAGACTCATCTATATATTACAGATTTCAGAGCTTGCCTGGAAGGATAACACTAAATGACAAATACATCAATTCAAAACAACACGAACAATTACTCAGATTTGTGTAACAAAAATAAATAAATAAATAAAGAACTATGCCACACTTCTCTGAAATGAAGAGAGCAATAAAAAAATTTGTTAGTTATTTATGTCAAAGAGTGTTTTTCCTTTGTTTTCTCTAAGAGTTTTATTGGGTCTTACATTTAGGTCTTTCATCCATTTTTAGTTTATTTTTTGTATATGGTATTAGCTGCTACTGCTACTAAGACACTTCAGTCATGTCCGACTCTGTGTGACCCCATAGACGGCAGCCCACCAGGCTCCTCTGTCCACAGGATTCTCTAGGCAAGAATACTGGAGTGGGTTGCCATTTCCTTCTCCAATATGGTATTACCAAGTGTTCTAATTTCATTCTTTTACATGTAGCCGTCCAATTTTCCCAGCACCACTTATTGAAGAGATGTCTTTTCTCCATTCTATATTCTTACCTCCTTTGTCATAGATTAGGTGACCATAGGTATGTGAGTTTATCTCTGGGCTTTCTATACTGTTCCATTGATCTTTATTTCTGTTCCTGTTTTGTGCCAGTACCATACCATCTTGACTACTGTAGCTCTGCATTGAATTTGTCAAAGATTTCATTTGGGTCTTTCTATAATATCTTATATAATGAACTTTTTGACCAACTTAATAATGTAGTCTGAAATCAAGGAACCTAATCCCCAGCTTCATATTTTCTTTCTTAAGATTGCTTTGACTATCTGGGGTCTTTTGTGTTTCCATACAAATTGTAAAAATTTTTGCCCTAATTCTATGAAAAATGCCACTGGTAATTTGACAGAGATTGTATTGAATCTGTAGATTCTATGGGTAGTATAGTCATTTTCACAATATTGATTCTTCAAATCCAAGAATATATCTTTCAGTCTGTTTGTGTCAACTTTGGCTTCCTTTGTCAGTAAATTACAGTTTCTGGGTACTGATCTTTTGCCTCCTTAAGTAGGTTTATTCTTACGTATTTTATTCTTTTTGTTGCAATGGTAATGGGATCGTTTGCTAATTTCTCTTTCTGATCTTTCATTGTTAGTGTATAGGAATGCATGTGCTTACTTTTTAGAAACCAAAGACAGAGCTAGGTCCCATGAAAAATTCAAAGACTGTCTATGGTTTAGAAGTCTAGAGTTTCTGCCCACAGTAGAATCAATTTTTAAAATGAGGGCAAATACACAAAATAATTTGCATTAACTATTCAAACCAACAGCAAGATAATAGTCAAAAATGTTTCATGCAAGGATAAGGAAATTCAGAGAAGTGGGGCAAGGGGAAACATGACACAAATGACAGAAAATTCTCCAGAAATGAACCTATCCATATAAAAACATAGCAAATTCTCCAGGGTTCCATTACCTGAATTCATGCTTCAGCATTAAAATAACATAATCACCAATAAATAATCTTTCTCACGTTCTGGGGCTTCCCTGGTGGCTCAAACAGTAAAGAATCTGCCTGCAATGTGGGAGACTCAGGTTCGATCCCTTGGTTGGGGAGATCCCCTGGAGGACCGAATGGCAATGCACTCCAGTATTCTTGCCTGGAGAAGTCCATGGACAGAGGAACCTGGCAGTCTACAATCTGTGGGATCTCGAAGAGTCAGACATGACTGTGTGAATCTCTGCTTTTGTCTTCTTCTCACATGCCAACCATAAAATATACTTTTAGAGATACTTTACTATGAAACTTCCTCATTTTATTGGTCTGGCCTCATTCACGTCTTTCAGTTAATAATGAAAAACTACTACTGTCTCCACTTAGTAGATGTTCCCTAAGACCAGAGGAATAAAATGAACACTGAAGGGTAATTAGGGTAATTTCATCACTAGATCACTAGTAGAATTTGATCCCACAGCTTTGACGTCTAATTTAGTGCTCTGCAAAGGACAAGATAATGTGTCTAGTCATTCAAGGTTTTAAGGAAAAAGGTAAAATGGAACCATGGCATTATATTGTTGGTTTTCATCATCATCAATTAATAAACATTGTAAGTGTACACATGTTATCAATGTTCTTCTAGGAGGTAAACAAAGTCAGTTAAACTGTTAAGCTCCTCTTAATTACCTGCAATGCTCTAAATGTACATGCATGGATACTGATGCTAACAATTAATTATATTTAATATTAATACATTACCTCTTCTAAGGCATTCCACAGTTCCTCATCTGTATGTTCATTTAAAAGATCCAGATTGTCCCTCATTGTTCCAGTGAATAAAACAGGTTCCTAAATACCCCAAAATACTGAATGTTATTACCTTAACCTCTTTTCATTATATCCTAATGCTTACAGAACAGAATTAAAATATAAAATATAAAAATTTAATGTTATTAATAATAAAATTGCAAATGTATATTTATAAAACATTATCTATAAAATAATTTTCCATGTACAAAGCATGCTACAAAATATCCTCCAGACTACTGAACATTAACAGAAGAAAAAAGTGTTGAAGTTTTTTATCTTAAGAGAAAAACTGAAGGAGAGAAAGGAGGACTTGATTCTTTAAAAAAAAAAAAAAGGCTTCCTGGGACCATGGGCTTAAGCACACACATGCAAACTGAGGATATAATTACTGGAGAAACTTTACATTAAGATCTATATAAATTAATTGTCAATCTTAGTGTGACTGGGAAATATCAATAGCATGATTAATTGGAAGTTTGTGCCTTAAAACAAAACCATTAAACATTTACACATTGGCGCTGAAGAATAAACTAGGTTCTTTTCTCCACTGGTCAAACAGTCTTCTAGGATATGGAATCTCTCCATTTATGTGAAAGGAACATCTTCACACGTGCAAAGAGAAGTCAGCTCCCGGGGTCTGCAGCATCTCTGTCCAAGGAGAGACCTCCTCGGATTCTACATCAACCTGATCCCCCACATTCTCTCACCTGTGCATCAGGATGACCTGCCTCACAGAGCCTCCTTACTACTAACTGCAGGCCAGGAGGACCTGAAACCCATTATGACCTGAGTCATAGTAAAATTATTCAAATAATTTTCCTGTTCAACTTTTGGGGGAGCCACAAGTAAATTACCCTAGAAATGTAAGTGTCCTTCCAAGTTTCAGGACTTCCCTGGTAGCTTAAAGGGTAAAGCATCTGGCCACAATGCAGGAGACCTGGTTTCAATCCCTGGGCTAGAAAGATCCCCTGGAGAAAGAAATGGCAAACCACTCCAGTATTCTTGCCTGGAGAATCCCATGGACAGAGGAGCCTGATAGGCCACAGTCTCCCAGGTCGCAAAGAGTCCGACACGATTGAGCAACTTCACTTTCCTCTCCTTTTTTCCAAGTTTCAAGAGAGAATCTTGTACAAAAGGTCCTGTAGACCATTTACATTTTCCTCTGGAAGGCTCTAGTAAGTCAGGCCACAAGAATATGAGCAGCAGAGAAGAGCCCCACTGGTTCTTTTCAGTGAAGGGGGCAGAACAAGGGGAGGCACACATGTGGGAACAAGAGGAGACCTGACACTTCCACAAGTGCCCAGAACTGCTCAGAATCACCAGCCTCAAAATCCTGCCTGGCCTTGGGGCTAGATTTTCCACCTCACTCCACAAAAGCCTGAGAAGATGAAGAAGACAGACATTTCTTTTCCCTAGTCATGAAGAACAATGAAACTCAGAGAGCCTCCTGTATCTTCTTTCAATATTGTCTCTGTTTTAAGTCTGGTGAGAAATAAATGAATGCAGAAGACCCAGGGTGAGCCTGGGAGAGAGGTAGAGAGGACCCCAGAAGCTCGCTGCTGCTCCAAGGATCACAGGGAGCAAGCAGCCAGGGAAGACGACGCGAGTTCATTATCTGAGCAGCTCACCCTAGTGAGGCAACTCAAAGAAACAGCCCTGGGCTCCCCTTCTGCAGAGTCTGCTCTCAGCTCCCCAGGTTCCCTAAATTAGGGTCTTGAGACACAAACATCACTGCTTCCTACTTATTTGGGGGGAAGAGAGATTTAAGTTTTCTGCATTTAGACAAGTTAACTTCATGTAGCCAAACCAACAGACTTTCTTCATCTCTGAGCCAGTAAGACATTGTAAAGACAAAGGGCTCTTGATTGGGGAGGTGTAAGATTTTGAGTATGTTCTCCTGACACTATTAGCCCAAGACACATAAACAAATAAGCCCATTTCAAAACTGATACTGTCCAAATAAGGGACAGGACAGTAGGAGTAGTATCTTTTGGCTTTGCTCCATACTTATTCACTTTTGTTATGGTTTGGGAAATTGTTTTGAGGATTTTTTAACATGTTATATTAAAAAAATTCAGGAAAATATCTGATTAGAACATCATTTAGTTCAATTAACATTTATTGGAAAAAAATTAACTTGGAGCCAGACAATTCTCAGTTCTGATTTTACTGCTCATTAGTTATTAGACTCAAGGTAAAATATTAATCTTCCCAAGACTTACTGCAAACTGGGGTTAGCCATGCAGGGCTGCTCTGAGAATCAGGAATAACAGGGAAGCTCCTGCTGTGACGCATAGAGCAGAAGCCCCCAGCAGGGGGACAGTGAGGGACAGTGGTTGTCAAAATGCAGGTGCAACGAATGGATCAGGAAATCAATTTTGTGCCTCGTGACCATCATTTTGTCATTTATATGAACTAGAATAGAACTGGTATCACAGAAAACATCAGAGCACAGAGCAAGAGTAGTGTTATTTGTGAAATTTTTGTTCCTCTGTATGTGTATGTGTATATGCACGTGGAGGCACATGAATCATGATACAAATCAATTGTACATGGACCACACTCAACAGCCACTTGAAGGCACAAGCAGAGTAATTTGCTTCTCAGTCTCTGGAGCTGGGAATCTCTACATTTGAATCCTGTTATTATATTTTGGAAATTAATACCTTGTTGGTTGCAACATTTGCACATATTTCCTTCCCTCCCAGAGGCTGTCGTTTCAGTTTTATTTATGGTTTACTTGGTGCTTTGATTCTTTTAACTAGGTCCCTTTATTCTTGCTTCTGTTTCCATGACTTTAGGGGACAGATCCAAGAACATATTGCTGTGATTTATGTCAAAGAGTAATCTATGTTTTCCTTTAGGATCTTGTCTTACAAATCTTTAGGTCTTTAATTTATTTTGACTTTATTTTTGTCTATGTTATTAGAGAAAGTTCTAATTTCATTCTTTTACATATAGTTTCCCAGATTTTCCAGCACTATTTACTGAAGAGACTGTCTTTTATCCATTACATATCTTTATTCTTATCTCTTTTGTCTTAGATTAACTGACCATAAGTGCATGCGTTTATATCTGGGTTTTTTATCCTGTTCCATTAATCTATGTGCCTAGTTTCTTTGACAGGAACATACTTTTCATTATTGTGGCTCTGTAGTACAGTCAGAAGTCAGAGACTGTGAATCCTCCAGCTGTGTTCTTTCTCAAGATGGTTTTGGCTATTTGAGGTCTTTCCTGTCTCCATATAATTTTTTTTTTAATTTCTTTTGTTCTAGTTCTGTGAAAAATGCCATTGGTAATTTGATAGGGATTGCACTGAATCTGTAAATTGCCTTGTACAGTTTTGTCATTTTTAACAATATTGATTCTTTCTATCTAAGAACACAGTATATCTTTCCATCTGTTTGTGTTATCTTCAATTTCTTTCATCAGCATGTTATAGATTAAGGGTCTTTTGGCCTCTTAGGTGTAGAAGGCAATGGCACCCCACTCCAGTACTCTTGCCTGGAAAATCCCGTGGACGGAGGAGCCTGGTGGGCTGCAGTCCATGGGGTCGCTAAGAATCAGACATGACTGAGTGACTTCACTTTCAATTTTTACTTTAATGCATTGGAGAAGGAAATGGCAACCCACTCCAGTGTTCTTGCCTGGAGAATCCCAGGGACAGGAGAGCCTGGTGGGCTGCTGTCTATGGGGTCACACAGAGTCGAACACGACTGAAGCAACATAGCAGCAGCAGCAGCAGCAGCAGCAGCAGCAGCCTTCTTAGGTAGGTTTATTCCTAATTATTCCTAGCAGTTTTTTATTTTTTATTTTTTTCCCTTTGACATGATGGCCAATGAGGTTGTTTCCTTAATTTCTCTTTCTGATACTTTGCTTTCAGTCTATATAAATGCAAGAGATTTCTGTATATACAACAGTTATACAGCTCAATATCAAAGACAGAAACAACCCAATTGAAAAAATGGACCAAAGATCTAAATAGACATTTCTCCAAAGAAAAATACAGATGGCTGAAAGGCATATGAAAAGATACTCGACATCACTAATTATTAGAGAAATGCAGATCAAAACTACAATGTGGTATGACTTCACACTAGTCAGAATGGCCATCATGAAAAAGTCTGCAAATAATAAATGCTGGAAATGGTGTGGAGAAAGTGTACCTTCCTACACTGTTGATGGGAATGTAAACTGGTGCAGCTATTATGGAAAACAATGTGGAGGTTCCTTAAAAAGCAGAAAAAGAGTTCCCATGTGATTCAGCAACTCCACTCCTCAGCATATACCCAGAAAAAGATAAAAACACTTATTCAAAAAGATACATGCACCCAAGTGTTCACAGCAGAACTACTTAACAGCCAAGATATGTCCGTAGACAGATGAATGGATGAAGAAGATGTGGAGTACACACACACATGCACACACAATGGAATATTATCAGCCATATAAACAAACCAAATAATGCCACTTGCAGCAACAAGGAAGGACCCAGAGATTGTCAGGCTAAGTGAGATAAGTCAGACAGAGAAAGACAAACATCATATGAGATCACTTATATATGGAGTCTTAAAAAATGATAGAAATTAACTTATTTACAACCCAGAAATAGACTCACAGACATAGAAAACAAATAATGGCTACCAAAGGAAAAGAGATAGGGCGGGATAAATTAGAAACCTAGTAATAACAGATACACACTACTATATACAAAATAGATTAAAAGGATCTACTTATAGAATAAAGAACTATATGTAATATCTTGCAATAACCCATGATAAAAGGCTCTGAAAAAATATATATGTGTGTATATACATGAATATATATACTGTATATATAAATATATATTTTTATAAGATTATATATATAAATATATATATCTGAACCTCTGGGCTGTACTACTGAAACACCATGAATCAGCTATGGTTCAATTTAAAAAAATAAACAGACACACACAAAATAAATCTTGACTCTGTCCCTTACTTGATAAGTGGAATAAGCTCCCAGTGCCTCAATTTTTAAATCTGTCAGGTAAGGATAACAAAAGAATTGTGAGGATTAAGCAGGAAGTGGTAGGATAAGTGGCTAAGACATGTTAATGATTCCACAAACATTAGGAATTATCAATACTCATGTAACTTGCCAAGGATTGTAACAATCACTAGGGGAACAGATATGAGAAATATAGGTTCTGTCCTCAAGGAAAGGAAGAAAAGAGTTGAGAGTGTGAGGCGGGCTGAGGAGGCCACAGGTCTTGGTGTATAAGTAAGTGAATAAGAAAGTACTGGTGTGTACAAGGTGGTGATCAGGAGAGAAGCTGGTGGGAGGGGAGCCAGAAATCAAAGTACAAAAAAAATGCTAATCTGTCTTCTTGCTCTTGGTGGAAAACATCAGATACATTTCTCTGTTACACTTTCACCCAAAATTCCTACTGTGTTTTTTTGTTTCTTTGCTTTACTATTTATATTTATTAAAACAACTTAGTTTATAATGTAACAATAAAGAAAATAACAAAGGACTATAAACACATAAGCAGAAATTAAAGCGTAAAGTCACTCCAGAAGGTGTTACTCTTTTTACTTAAGCAGAAAGACGGTCTGTGCCCTGATCCTTAAGAAAAACAATAATTCTTATTAACTGAACTTTCCTAAAAACTAGACATGGGCACAAACATTTTTGCACCCAGTTACATCTTCACAACAAATCTGTATGACAATAATTCCCAGACCTGGTTTAAGGACGAGGACGCTGAAGCCTGGCAGCCAAGTGACATTGTCAAGGCCCCACAGTCATATGAGGCAGAGCAGGAGTAAAACTATGGGTCATGTTGACACTCAGACTACACTCTTAAACATTCTACCCTCATCTTCCTTCTGAATGGTTTCCTGGGATCCTTTACACATTGCAAGTTCTCTCTAGATTCTCTCTCTTTGATCAACCAACACTGCACCTTGAAGAAAAAGGCATATAAAGTGGAATTTACATGGATACAAGTTCAGTTCAGTTCAGTCACTCAGTCGTGTCCAACTCTTTGCAACCCCATGAATTCGCAGCACGCCAGGCCTCCTTGTCCATCACCAACTCCCAGAGTTTACCCAAACTCATCTCCATTGACTCAGTGATGCCATCCAACCATCTCATCCTCTGTCGTCCCCTTCTCCTCCTGCCGTCAATCTTTCCCAGCATCAGGGTCTTTTAAAATGAGTCAGCTCTCCTCATCAGGTGACCAAAGTATTGGAGTTTCAGCTTCAGCATCAGTCCTTCCAATGAACACCCAGGACTGGTTACTGTGATATTGAATGGTTTGCCTTGGAAATGAATAGAGACCATTCTGTCGTTTTTCAGATTGCATTCAAGTACTGAATTTCAGACTCTTCTTTTGATTATGATGGCTACTCCATTTCTTCTAAGGGATTCTTGCCCTCAGTAGTAGACATGAGTGATCTTGGTTAAATTCACCCGTTCCAGTCCATTTTAGCTCGCTGATTCCTACAACGTCAACATTCACTCTTGCCATCTATTTGACCACTTTCAATTTGCCTTGATTCATGGACCTAACATTCCAGGTTTCTATGCAATATTGCTCTTTACAGCATCAACTCTTGCTTCTATCACCAGTCACATCCACAAGTTGGTGTTGTTTTTGCTTTGGCTCTGTCTCTTCATTTTTTCTTGAGTTAGTTCTCCACTGATCTCCAGTAGCACACTGGGCACCTACCAACCTGGGGAGTTCATCTTTCAGTGTCCTATCTTTTTACCTTTCCATACTGTTGATAGGGTTCCAAAGACAAGAATCATGGATACAAAGCTTAGTACTATTTTGTAAGCATGCTGTCTGGCGTGTGCATGTAGAGCATACTCAAAGGAAGGGTGGATACCAACAGGACAGAACCAAAACATGTTGATGCAAAGGTTTGCTTGGTCTTTGCTCAGATGTGCTTCCAAACATTATTAGCAGAGCCAAGAATAATCTAATGATATTTACTTATAGTGTTATTTTATGTACATAGGCATACAACTTTTTTCCTATTGAGAAGCATTGAAAATAAAGTAGGGCATGTTTCTAAAGCCTTGTATCCAAGGACTTTACACACATGCCTTTTATTTCTGTTAACTAATCATCTCACTTTGCCACTTCAGACAGGGGTACCATCAAAACATAAAACTTGAGAATTTAAACTCATTTATTTTCTACTGTAACCACAAGTCATAAATAGCCAGAGAAAAATTTTAAATATGGGGACTGAATGTGCTAAAAATTTATTCCCATTTTTCCTGAATGGAACAGCTTTGAATAAAAATTGCTTTAATTGTAGTAAAATACACATAAAATTTATTAGCTTAACCACTTTTAAGTGCACAGTTCGGTGGTATTAAATACATTCACATTGTTGTACAACCATCACCACCTTCCAGCCACAGATCTCCTTTCATCTTGCAGAACTGGAAATCTGTACCCATTAAACAACAACTCCCCTTTCCAAGAAGCTTCTGGCACCCACCATTCTACATCATGTATCCATGAATTTAGTACTCTAGGTACCTCCTATTAGTGAAGTCATACAGTATTTGTCCTTTGAGACTGGCTTATTCCACTTAGTTTAATTTCCTCAAGGTTCATCTGTGTTATAGTATGTGTCAGAATTTTCTTATTTTGTAAGACCAAATAATATTCCACTCTATGTTTATATGCTACACTTTATTGATTCATCTGTCAACGGACTTTTGGGTCCCTCACCTTTTTGCTGTTGAGAATAATGCTGTTATAACATGCATGTAGAGGTATCTCTTCAAGACCTTTCTTCCAATTCTTTTGGGTTTATACTCTAAAGTAGAATTGCTAAGTCATATGATAATTCTATCTTTAACTTATCTGAGCAAACACCAACTTGATTTCCATAGTGGTTGCACTATTTTACATACATCCCAACAAGCAATGAATAAGGTTTTTAATTTCTCTACATCTTTGCCAACACTTGTCATTCTCTTTCTCTCTTTCTTTTCTTTGATAGTGGACATGTTAAGGGTTGTGAGGTGGCATTTCATTATAGTCCAAAAAGAATATCTTGGTTTCAAAGTACTTAAAGAGTAATTCCAGATATTTTAGAGGCCATGGGTAGGTAGCAACAGCTGTACCCAAGCTCACACTCCCCTTCCCTTTGGGTGCCATGTTCTATATGCTTCCTAATAAACAGGCATTTCAGGGCACATTACACCCACATTCCAGGAAGCACAATTGCCTGGCTCATTTTCTCTCATCTCCTTTCTCTGTTTCTCATCTCAAGAGGGTATTTTTCTGAGCTTCCTTTGATGAGCAGATAATTATCAAGTATATTAAAAAAAATTCAAACTATATATATATTTTTAAATCAGTAAGTCTGTCAAAGCAGAGGACAGTATGGAAGATGAGGACACAGGATCCAGGTTGCCCTTGGCTATATACCTGGAGGATAGTAATTTCTCAGTAAATATTCACCAAATTATGTTGAGTGAATTAACCACAAGAAATGACAGGAGTGTCTACTGTGCATATAATCCAGTCTCCAAAACACTTCCTGAAAATTATACTTCTTGGACTCTGTGGGAGAAGGCGAGGGTGGGATGTTTCGAGAGAACAGCATCGAAACATGTATATTATCTAGGGTGAAACAGATCACCAGCCCAGGTTGGATGCATAAGGTATATCTTCTTCAGAGTCTGCCCTACTATCCATCATGATGTAAAGCCTTGCTCAGTAGGAGTTTGATCATTTGTTTTATTTCCAGATAGGCAAGAAGGCAATATGGGCATATATCACATAGATCTAGAAAAGAGAGTTTGGAATTGAAGAAGTCACAGTATCACCAAGGATATTACTGTAAAAGCACTGGGAAGACCCAGAGGAATCGGGTGGAGAGGGAGGTGGGAGGGGGGGTCTAGATGGGGAATACATGTAAATCCATGGCTGATTCATGTCAATGTATGACAAAACCCACCACAATATTGTAATTAGCCTCCAACTAATAAAAATAAATGAAAAAAAAAAAAGATGCAGAAGAAAAGAAAACAGAATCAGAGTCCAGGAAAAGACTGGCCAATGGCCTGTTCAATGCTCCACCATCACAGCAGTCATGTCTGGGTCTATGTGAAGCACTTCACACTTAGTGACCTATTTTGTCCTCACAACAGCTCAAGGGGCTGGTACTGTTAGTTACCTTGTAAGACAGAGAAAACTGAGGTACATAGAGACAGAATTCTCAATTACCTACTCTACCTCACTATTCTGTACTTCCTCCCTGGTGAAAATTATCACTAATGGATGAATTGTCAAAGTATCCCCAGCATCTATAAACCCTGTAATTCTCAAAGCTCAACAGTTTCACAGAATGTCCTCCAAGGAGATAATCACCTTTGAAATGATCTCCTCATTTCCCACAACAAAATTTTATCTGTAAAACACTTAAAAGTCATGTTTCCCTATAGGAACCTCTCCAGAACTAGACGAACCATTTATCCTTTTATTCTCAGAATTATGTGGTTATCAGTGGATAAAATTGTGGCAACTGAGGAAGACTGAGTCCAGAAATCTATCTCAGGAAGTTATTAAATCACATGCACACAAAACTAACGAAAGAACAAAGAAACAAAACGTGCTATCTGATGAAAATGTCTGTTGAAAATACCTGATGCTAAAAATGTGCTCTATTGGGGAAAAAAGGGTTGAACCTTTCATGTAACTTGAAAATAAAAATCAAATTAAAAGCAATTAAACTTATATACTTTATTAAAAGAACATGTGAGAATGCTCTGATGTGCATACCTGAGGTGCAATTGACATTTTCTTCCTTAAATCATGAAGTCCAATGTTGTCTGTCCAGAGTCCATCAATCAAAATGGAACCTTCAGGTTCTGACAGTCTAAGAAGAGCAGCGATGAGGGAACTTTTTCCAGCTCCTGTTCTTCCCACAATGCCATGCTGTAAAGAGACCCAGGGCAATCAAACCCTGAATGTTGAATTTTCAAAGTTCTCTTATATATAAAGTGTAGTCTATAGTTTCTCAAGCATGGTCTTGGTGACATTTGGGTCCAGATAATTTATTGTTGGGGTGTCTGGGGACTGTCATGCATATTGTAAGATGTTTGACCATAGCAATGAACTCTACCCACTAGATACCAGATGCAACCCCCAAATTGTGGCAACCAAAAATGGCAGCTATTTACAAGTGTCCCTGGTTGAGACTACCATCAACCCAAGCATATGTAATAGAAACGTGAGTGATTTTTATGCCTTCTTACAGTTTTATTTATTTATGTAGTTTTATTCAGATTTCCCTTAAGGAATGCATAATATGCTAAAAATTGTTTGCTTTCTGTGATTATCACATAGTATCCATTATGTGGTAGGTTAAAAGAGGGAGACATGTATCTGTATGTGGTGTATGTGTATACATGTGTATGTATGTGTGTAATTAACATTCATAAATAAAGCAAGAAGATTAAAAAAAAATCTGCTGGCAGTGAAAAACAGCAGTTCTAAGTGGTGCATAAGATGTCAGTTTTTAAATTAGCTTTATTCCTCCTGTCTGGATAATGTGACCTTGAGAATTACATGGGTAATTTTACAGAGATGTCAACAAGTCACAAGTGTTATACACAAACAAGTACTCACTTTCTCAGGGATCTTTTAAGAGTAGTTATTCTTTGGTAGAAAAATGAAATCACTTCCTGATATTAAATATCTTAATTACCTTCTATCTTGAAACAACTTAAAACATAAAATAGACAAAATGCACATAATGAGATTAAAACAACACAAACAAAATTTGCTATTTACATGGGACCTTTCATCAGAGCAGCACAAAAGACATTTTATTAAAAAATTAATAATTACAATTGAGTTTTGGAAAAATAAAAAATATATGTCATGTCAGTCTATTCATTAATACCAAAGCAGAGAGAAATTAAATGATTGACAATAAGGTTAAAGAATCTATACAGTGCAGGTTAAATGCTGGTAACGAATAAAACTGCATTCAAATATGTATGCAGAAAGTGGCCTTTTTTTTTTTTAACCAATGAGTTGGAAAGTGAGAGAAAGTATTAGTCACTCAGTCTTGTCTGACTCTTTGAGACCCCATGGAATGTAGCCTGACAGGCTCCTCTGTCTCAGGAATTCTCAAGGCAAGAATAGTACAGCGGGTTGCCATTTCCTACTCCAGGGGAGCTTCCTGACCCAGTGATGAAACCCAGATCTCCTGCCTTGCAGGCAGATTCTTTACTGTTTGAGCCACCAGGGAAGCCCAACTGCAAACTCCCTGAAGGAAGCTTCCCTAGAGATAATTTCACCTCTATTTAGAATCTGGAGTTGATGACGGTGTAGGACATATTTTGATCATTTGTAAATCCGTAAAATTTTAAAACTCATAGCTTTAAAGTGAACAACTAAATCTTTCTGAGCAATATAATCAGAATTCTTGGAAATTTTCATATTTTCTGATTTGAATCATATTTTCTGTTTTGAATCTCTAAAGTTTCACACCTTAGCTGTCAAATCAATCATGGCATTTCAAAGCAGAATTTATCTTTAAAGAGATTAAACATAAGAAAAAGTGGGTTTAGCTAATTTTATATCTTACAAAGATAATACAACATCTATAAGATACTTTGTTTTCATTGTTTAGTCACTCAGTCATGTCCAATTCTTTGCAACCCCATGGACTGCAGCATGCCAGGCCTCCCTGTCCTTCATCATCTCCCTGAGCTTGCTCATGTCCATTGAGTCGGTGATGCCATCCAACCATCTGATCCTCTGTCATCCCCTTCTCCTCCTGCCTTAAATCTTTCCCATCAGGGTCCTTCTCAATGAATTGGCTTTTCTCATCAGGTAGCCAAAGTATTGGAGCTTCAGCTTCAGTGTAAATTTTTCCAATGAATATTCAGGACTGATTTCCTTTAGGATTGACTGGTTTTGTTAGGGGAAGCACACTGACTGAAACCACCCACCCTGGCCAGGCACCATAGTAACCATTTGCATAAATTGTTTTATGACAGGAGATCCTGATAAGGAATACGGAACTAATAAGCCATCACCAGCAGGGAGAGTTCAGGAAAGGTCGAGGGAAGACACTGCCTGTCCGTCCACTTCCCAGAATCCCTCTTGCTAGCATCCATCTTGGCTGAGCGATGCGTGCGCCACCAGGAAAGACTCTGAATTAGAATGATTGGCCAAAGACCACCTGGAAACTAATCCCATCACCATAAAACCCAAGACTGTGAGCCAAGTGGCAGAGCAGTTCTCTTGGGTTCCCTTACCTACTCCTTTCCACCTGGGTGCCCTTTCCCAATAAAATCTCTTGCTTTGTCAGCATGTGTCTCCTCGGACAATTCATTTCCGAGTGTTAGACAAGAGCCCAGCTTCAGGCCCTGGAAGGGGTCCCCCTTCCTGCAATAAATGGCGATTCTGGTGGGACTCTTCTTTGCTGAGACTGACATCCTGACCACTCAGGGTACTCAGGAGCCAGCTTGCCTGCCAATGGACCAGACCCAGAGGCTGTCACTGGGACCCTTTTGTCCCTGGTCTCCTCCTGAAGCGGACAACTGGCCAGAGTGCCCCGACTAGTAAGGAACAAGAGACATTATTGACCTCTCTCCCCTTCCCTCTCTCTTTCCTCTCCTTAGCCCTTCCTACTCTTCCCGTTTTTCTAGTCCCCCAGCCCTGGACACAGGAATCTGGTTGAAGGGCCTCAGCTTGAGCTGAGGATTGGAGACTGATCACCTTCTCTTGGCAGAGAACTCGAATTTTCTGGTCTGGTTTCTGGTAGGGCCGAGTTCCAGTCCTCCCTTTTCTGGAAGCCCAGGGAAAAATTCTGTAATGCCTGGGTGTCTGCAGGTGGCAGGAGACGTCTGTAAGGCCACCCCTTTTGCCCCCTTTCCCACCTCCCCCTCCTTCTTCTTTCAACCTGGCTTCCTTTCCTCCTTTTGAAATCTTTGAAGACATCTGAAGTTTTGTGTCTCTATAGAAGGTTTTCTAAGAGACTGTATTCTTGTATTTAAGGGAGTGTCTGATGAGGACTACCAGGTTTATATGTGTGTGTTTTAACTCTGTTCTGTGTTGTGATTTGTGTCGGCCATTTTGATTTGTCTGGTCACCATTTAGACCTGCCGCCATTTTGTTAGGACTTGATTTTCTTTCCCTGTGCCTTGAGACCAGGGCTCTCAGGAACACTTATCTAGACCATCTCTAAATCCTGAGACTGAGAGAAAAAGGAAAAAAGCCTTTAAAAATGTTATTTATTTCAACTTTTTTAATAAACTAGTTAATTTTATATTGTAATATTTAATTCATCACCAAACTTAGAAAATGAAGCTAGATCTTGCACTGTGTCTGTCTAAATATGTCTTGGTATGTCTTTGTCTCTGGGTAATATTTTTAGGTTAATTTGTAAATGATCTCTATTTAATTGGCTTAAAAAAAGGTAAGCACTTACAAATCAAATAATTCTAAATTAAACAATAAATTCCAGATTCAGGTGAACTGAGAAATACTCAGTATTAAGTACCTGACATTAATGTTTATTTGTTGACCTATCTAATATAGACATGTCTTAGAGTAATTAACATCAAGTAAAATATTTTCATTGTACCTAGGTTTAATATAAGTTAAATATTATACCTGTTACAAGTTTGTCAACAAGGAAATTACCTTGAGTAAAAAACTTCTAAAAAATGTAAATGAGATATGAGTTTGTATATAAACTATTAAGAATAATTATTCTTTAAGAATATCTGTCTACAATAGTCTCCCCAGATTGGCATAACTTGAATTTCTAAGAGTTGTGCTAAACTAAGTATTGAAACTCTATTAAATAATTAGGTCATTTCCAAATGAAATAAGATTTTGAAACATTTACTACTAAACACTGATTTCCTTTTACAGAAAAACTAAAGAGATTTGGGACTATAAATGAATAATGTTTGATGCCATCCTAAAATGTTTTAAGAAAGCAAGGGTTTTAGAAATTATCACTGATATTTATGCTCACCAATCTATAAAATGCTAATATAAAAGTTAGTTCTTGGTTGCTAAAGGAAAGCAGGAAGTGTGCTTTTAGTAAAAAAAAAAAAAAAAAAATATGAAAAAATACTAAAAAGAGTTATGCATGATCAGGATTTTCTAAAATTGGATTACAATTAGTTAGATAAATGGATTTTGTTAGGAATGACACCCACAAGAAAACTGGTTAGAGCCAATTAGGTCCAAGAGGGCAGAGCTGACTTTCACTAGACCTTGAGCCTTGGTATTTATGCCCATTGTGACATATTAACAAGCTAAATGATACACCCATCAACATTGACTAAATCTGACCAAATGTTCTAAATGCTTTTCATTGATCTTTTTGGTAAAACTTCCTAAATCAAATTCTTTTGAAGTTCCTTTGACCTCTAGCTAACTTTGGGGTGCTTCAGAGGGCCTCTGTAACATCCCAAAGAGAGATATTAAACTGTGTTTATTTGGTTGGTTAAATTACATGAAAAAGGTTATCAAATGAGTAATAAATCCGCTCATGTTATAATGTATGGTAAAATTACTAATACAGATATCCTAGAAATTATATGGAGTTCTTAACATTTTGATATGTCTTGGTATTCTAATGAGAAACCTGATGACTTCACAAAAGTTAACAAAGGACTGAATGAACCAGCAAATATGCTTATAACTTTTATGGTTTCTATCTGAAAAATTACAGGTTTGAATCTTGTGTTTTCCAGGAGTAGGGAAAACCTTCCTCTCAAACTAATTATGAAAATAATTTGGTAAAATTACACGTTATAAACAAAACAATTATATTTTCTCTCTATCTGACTCCTCCAGAAATTTGAAACTCTTAAGTTTCCAGTAAGTTTATCAAATGAGCTAGGAAGGTTATCTCACTAACAGGTACAAAAATCTCAAGGAATTTTTGAGACCTTAAAAAG